TGGGGCTAGCTAGTAGCAGGGTGGTTAAGGTGGCTGGAGCCCATGGCTGGGGTCCTAGACTCAACAGCAGGAAAAACACAGTGTGCGCAGGCATGCATGCCCAAAATCCCAAGAAGAGAATGGAGGAGAAGGGACTGTGGTGTAGCTGTATTCTCTCCTGGAGGGAAGACGCTTTGTCACTATCTGCCCCCTCTCTCTTTCTGGCAAGTCCATGTATCCTTAGTAAAATTTAAAAAGAAAAATATTTTCTTTGTGATATAGAGCACTATGATTTTCATGTAGAGATGTGGGAAAGAAAAAAAAAAGACAAAAACTGAAAGCTAATGTAAGTTAACTGTCAAGAATCATGATTATGACCTTACCACTGCAATTTGTGCTTCTTTTCTTTTTTCATAAAACATAATATAGGTTGAACATCCTTAATCTGAAATTCACAATACTCCAGAATCTAAAACTTTAAATGACATGACACTGAAAGTAGAAAATTCCACAACTGACTTCATACGATAAGTCATAGTCAAACACAGCTGTACAACATACCTGTTCATTCAGCATCCCCAACGAAAAAAATTCCTCTCAGGCCCCATCAACTGAGATTTGTCTTTTTCTTTTCTTTTTTTTTTTCTGTCTCTTTTATTTTATTTAACTTCATTCATTCATTCATTTCATTTCAACCAGAGAGAGGCAAGAGTGTGAGAGAGAGAGAGAAAGTGAGAAAGCAACCCACCAGGTCCAGGACTCAAACCGTGGTCTACCATGTGGGACTCCAGTGCCTCAACCACCACGCCACCTGCTGGCCCCAAGATAATGTCTTTTTCACTCATGTCCAGATTCCCCCACACAAGCACATGCATAAAGAGTAGTAAATAGATGTGTGCAGGCCAGATGCAGATTCTGCATGATGCCCCACATACTGCCAGCACCTCTATGCGTTATTCACTGTGACTTTTTGCTTATTCTCTGCTCTGTGGTATAAAGATACTGTTGAAAGTATGTAAAAGGCCTGCAGGTACCCCTATGGGAAATGCAGAAAGTGATTGTTTATCTGTAACAGTCAGTCATACTGTTGGAGAAAGTAGTATTCTAAATATGAAATGTCATACAGAAGAGTATGGTATTGGAATGACTGGCAGGAATAAGAATAAACTACTAATGTTCTATGCTGAACTTGATGAACACAAGTTAATGACAGATAGAAAAACACTACCTGAAGCTAAAAACGAAGATCACAGTCATGTACTGAAAGAATGAATCTGTCAACATCACAGTGAACATTTGCCACTCGGTATGCTAATCATGAAACAAGCAAAGGCCTATCATAATCTGAAAACTGAATGTACTGTGATATTCAACAGACTGGTTGCAAAAATGTAAGTAAAGACAAGGTGGGCAGCAGGTCGCATAGTGGTTAAGGCTGGACTCCCACATGGCCAATGGCGACTGGAGTCTAGACCCAGCAGCTTGAAACTCAAGCCAGATGCATGTGCATACATGCCCAAAATCCCAAAGAGAGAATGGAGGAGAGGGGATTGTAGCATGGCCATCTCCTTAGGGGGTGATTTCTTACTTTTTCTCTCTGTTTCTCCGGCAAGTGTACATACCCTATAGCAGAAAAAAAAAAGAAGAAAAGAAAAGGCATGTTATCAAATTATTTATGGTGACAAAGCGTCTGCCAATCATGTAGCAATAGAGAAATTTGCCAAGAGAGTTTGCTAAGATCAATGCTGATGAAAATCTAATGCCAGAGTAGGTCTGTAATACTGATGACAAATCACTGTTCTGGCATTATTGCCCCAGCAAGATACAACAGCTAATGAGACGGCCCCTAACAGAATGAATGGTATTAAGAGCAGAATAACTTGTGTTGGGGTTTGTTAATGCAATATGCTTACACGAGTGCAAATATGCTGTGATAGGCAAAAGCTTGTCCTCACTGTTTTAAAAGGATCAGTTTACCAGTTCACCATTGTGCTAACTTAAGGGCATGGATCACCAAGGACCTTTTCTGGTGGTTATACAGTTACTTTTTACCAGCTGCTTGTGCTCACTGCAGGGAAACAGGATTGGATGATGACTGCAAGGTTTTTTCATTTCTTAACCACTGTTCTGCTCTTCCTCCACTTGAAATTCTCAACAAAAATACTTTTTATACCATATTCTTTCCCCTAAATATGACTTCATTCATTTAGCTTTGTAACAAGGGTGCCCTTAGCTCAATGAGTATAAATACACTTTCTTAAACAGCCTAGTAGCAGCAATGAACAGAGGTGGGGATGTGGAAGGTGTTCAGAGGAAAGTTGGCGTGAAGTATGCTGTATATGCTGTTACCAGTTGAAACGCAGTGACTAAAGACACAGTTATGCATACCTGGCATGACCCCTGGCCTGCAACTATGTTCAGTGATTATTATGAACAAGGTGATGACTTTGAAGGATTCCATATGTCAAGTGAGAAAGAAACGTCTGATCTCCTTATATAAGCAAGAGATACACCTTTTGAGTTCATCTATAAACTGGGAGAAGTGGGTATGGAAGTTTTTAACATCTATGAACAAGGTGATGACTTTGAAGGAGTCCATATGTCAAGTGAGAAAGAAATGTCTAATCTTATATAAGCAAGAGATATACCTTTTGAATTCATCTATAAACTGGGAGAAGTGGGTATGGAAGTTTTTAACATCTGTAATTTGTCTCCAGTTCATTTATTGACCAGTGGTGAAGTAGCCAAAATGATTCTGAATCAAGGTGGTCATCATAATAGTGATGATGAAAACATTATTAACAGAAAAAGTGCTGTAGATAAAATGGTGAAAATGTGTGTGGAGGTTTATTGAAGAACTAGAGCAACATATATTCAGGGCAGAAGAAATCATGTCAGTTTATACATGCAAGACAGACTTTTATGGCAAAATTGTTGTTAATGAGGGAGATGACTCTATAGGAAGTGTTTTTAAAGGCTATGCTGCACAATTCTTCCTTATCCGTAGAGAACCCAATTTCTAGTCCCTGAACTGCTTCTGATGTTTTTTCTCCCCTAAAAAGAAAAAAATACAGCATATAGTAACATTTTAGTCAAACATAAGTAGGAACTGAAAGCCTGTCATTGTGATTGTTGTTTACCAGCTGCTACAGATATTCTGGTGTTGCTGCTATACTGCTTAGTTACTCTGAACACATTGGTTTTTTGTTTGTTTGTTTGTTTTTTTGAGGTTTTTGCTGTAGGGCACATGGGCTTGCCAGAAAGACAGAGACAGAAAGTGAGAAGTCACCCTCTCCCTCGGGGGGGGGGGGGTGGCCACACCACAATGCCTTCTCCTCCATTCTCCTCTCAGGATCTTGGGCACGCATGAACACTTGCCAGGCATGAGTTTGAGCCACCAGGTCTGGGACTCAGACCCCAGTTGACTACATGGGAGCCCAGCGACATAGCCATTATGCCAACTGCTGGTCCCAACACATTATGTTATATTTTTACTATTAGTGGGATGTCAAAGATTTTTACTTATAAGTACTTATGTATGAATAAGTAATTAACATGAAGCATGCTAGTGTTTGCGTATCATTAGCATATAAATTCAGAGTCAGGGATGACAATGATGCCAAACAACCATAGATTGTCTGCATGGGTGGCTGAGATAGTGACACCTTCACTTTCTAATGGATCTGTGTACACAGACTTTGCTTCATGCACAAAATTATTTAAAATATTACATAAAGTTACTTTCTGGCTATTAGTATAAGGTATATAGAAATATAAGAGAATTTTGATTTAGACATTGGATTCCATTTCCAAGACATCTTATCATATAAATACATATAGTTCAAAATCTTTCAAAAATACAATATTGGGAATATTTCTGGTTCTCTGTATTCCAGATAAGGTATACTCTGCCTATATATGGCTAGGTATTCATAGTTTAACAACTGAACTTTTTAAATTGAAGTAAGCAATACAAAAAGATAACAGTTTTATTGATATATCCACAATACCATACAACTCAGCCATTTAAAGTATATGGATTAATAGTATTTATATTCAGAAGTTGTGTAACTGTTACCACAGACATTAGAACATTTTCATTGCTAATTAGCATTCACTCCCCACTTCCCTTCACCCTTAGCCCTCTCTGTGTATGGGTTTGCATATTCTAGCCTTCTAATATAAGGGGAATTACTTCACATGGCTCTTCATGAACCTCTTCTTGCTGGTAATCGGTCATCATGTTTTCAGGGTTCATTTATATTATGTATACCTTAGAACTTTATTTCTCTTTTATTAATGAATAATAATATATGAATATAGCACATTTTCTTTTTCCATAAACATTCATTGATGAGAATTTCTTCTTTTTTTTTTTTTTTTTTTTGAAGAGGTGTTTTTGCTATAGGGCACGTGCACTTGCCAGACAGGCAGAGACAGAGAGACAGAAAGTGAGAAATCACCCCCCAGGGGGGATGGCCACGCTGCAATTGTTTCTCCTCCCTTCTTCTCTCAGGATCCTGGGCACTCACGCACAGGCACCCAGTGTGGGTTCTAAGCCACGGGGTCCAGGACGCGAACCGCGGTCAACTACATGGGAGTCCAGCGACATAGCCATTACACTACCTGCTGGTCCCATTCATTGATGAGAATTTCTATCATGCTTTTTTTTTCCTGTTGTGAATAATGCTGTTATGAATAAGTTTATTTCTGTATGTATTTTTGTGTGAACATAATGCTTGCTTTACTCTCTGTTTAATTGTCCCCTTTTAAAAAAAAAGTTAGATCTTCCAGGTCATAATTTTGCTCTCAAATACTGCTCTTCATTATCTGAAAATAATCTGGTGCTTTTTGTTGTCTAGAATATGAAGTAAACCACTGATAATTTCAGTTCTAAGCAATAGAGATTGGTGACTGGGTAATAGAGATTGGCTAACTATAATAGATTTTGATTATTATTGGACTATTTTTAATAAAAGCGAACTGTTATATTATGTTGGAATTATTTTTGTATAAAATAGGTATTTGGTGCTTGAGAAACTGAAAAAGGAAGAAGCTGACCGAATTCATATATTCAGTTCTTTTTTCTATAAACGCCTTAATCAGAGAGAGAGGAGAAGTCATGAAACAACTAATCTATCGTAAGTCAAACTCTGGAAATATTTAATAGTTGTAGTAAGTCTCTCAAGTTCAATTTAGTAAAATTCATTTATTTGAAACACAATACAAATCTTTAGCCAGGAAGAGAACACACCAAACAAGTCAGGTTTATTTTTGTTCACAGGTTCATGTTCAGTGGCTTTTAATTAGTTTGGGAGTATAATATCTTTCTTTTTTTTAAGGGTTATTTATTTTATTTTATTTATTATTATTTTTTAATTTTACCAGAGAGAGAAAGGAAAAGTGAGAAAGCAAGCCACCAGGTCCAGGACACGAACCGCAGTCAGCCATGTGGAAGTCCAGCGCCCTTAATCAACACCACGCCACCTGCTGGTCCCAGGAATATAATTTTTTAATTGTTTATTTATGTTGAGGTGATTATCAATTTGTAGAATTAATATAATTCATAATATTCCAATACCTCCATCATACCTAAAATTTATAAATATTCCAGATCTAATATCTAGAACAATGTTTCTCAAATATTAGTGGGTTTTTTTGTTTTTATTTTTGTTTGTTTGTTTTTTACTTAATTATTTAGATACTTACAACATACAGAGTGCCCTCTTACTCGAGATGTTCCTTCATAGTATTGAAACATGTGAGTTTTTACTTTGATAAGCTTTTTGGATAATTCTTGACAGAAAAAATAAAGAAATGCTATTCCATGTTTTAAGCCTGAGTTGTTAATTGCCAGAAGGCACAGGTGCTCAGTAGAGAGAGAGAGAGAAGCAAAGAGAAAGCATCCCGCCCCCAAAGGGGCCATTCTTTCTCTGTTTCTCCATCCAGTTGATATTTGGGGCATGCATGCAGACACACCTTGCATATTTTTCTTTTAATATTTTTGACAGAGGTCATGTATGCCTACTGGAGAGAAACAGAGAAGGTAAGTGACAGAGTACCCCCCCAAATGGAGAATGGGTACATTGTAGTCCCTTCTCCTCTGTCTCTTTCTCCTTTCAAGATTTTGGGTGTGCATGTACACATGCCTAGAGTGTTTCTTAAGCCACTTGGTCTAGGATTTGAACCAGGAGGTTGACCATGTGGGGTCCATCTCCCTTAACCTCTGAGCCATGGGCTGGCCCTCTGACACATGATTTTAAGTTGCCAGGACCAGGATTCAAGCCAGTCATCCATGTGGGATCTGGCTTCCTTAATGTTATACTGTGCTGCAGGGCTGGCCGCTGAGTTATTTTGTTTATGAGTACTCTCAATGTATCGATGGCATTCAGTTCTAATATTTACTGGTAATCAGTCAAAAGAAACACATAAAGGGTCCAGCAGGTGGCATGGTGGTTAAGGTGCTGGACTCCCACATGGCCAACTGCAGTTGGAGTCTCGGACCTAGTAGCTTGCTTTCTCGGGTTTCCTTTCTCTCTGGTGAGTGTATGCACATGCCCTTTAGCAAATTTTAAGAAATAATAATAGTAAATAAAATTGAATAATTCTTTTTTTAAAAAACATGAAACACATTAGAATTGAACTTCTTATAACTACTTTTAAATGCCTTTACTTGATAATTTCTGCATATTGTATAATATTATGTTCTACTATTCCAGCAGTGCCTCTTTCCATCTTAGAGTTGGTGATAGGCATTGATTTTGACCATCTACCATCAGATAGTGCTTACTTTCTCTTCTCCCCAGGAACCATAAGTAATGCTTTGATTTATCTCTACTAATATAGTTGCTATAGTGCCAGTTACTTAGTAATAAATGGAGTAAAGTCTGGGCAAGATAAGCACTGGAACCCTCTGACATAGCAGCA